TGGCCTTGAACACTGCCAGGGATGGAGCATTCACAGCCTCCTTGGGCAACCCATTCCAGTGCTTCAGCACCCTAACAGGAAAGAATTTCCTCCTTATATCCAATCTAAACTTCCCCTGTTTAAGTTTGAACCCGTTACCCCTTGTCCTACCATTACAGTCCCTAATGAAGAGTCCCTCCCCAGCATCCCTATAGGCCCCCTTCAGATACTGGAAGGCTGCTATGAGGTCTCCACGCAGCCTTCTCTTCTCCAGGCTGAGCAGCCCCAGCTTTCTCAGCCTGTCTTCATACAGGAGGTGCTCCAGTCCCCTGATCATCCTCGTTGCCCTCCTCTGGACTTGTTCCAACAGTTCCATGTCCTTTTTATGTTTGGCCTGTGTTGCTTGAGCACAGACTGAACAGCCACAGCTCTGAGCTGGGAGCAAGAAAAGATGGGAACAGCACTGACGATGCTGTTTAGGCAACTCACTTGGACAATAAAAGCTCTCTGGGATTATATGCTGCTTGGAAGTGGGTATCTTGAACCTAGCAGTCTGTTATAATTCATACCAAAACTGCTTTGGAGTGATTCCTCTGGGGCTGCAGTCCCTTTAATCTTGACTAGCTCCAGGTCCTTAGCAGAAGGTGTAAGACTGATCTGAACAGCAGACCTGCTGCTCCTGTTCCTGCAGATCTCATGCTCTCTGGTTAGATGTTTTTTGGCCATGAACCAGTATTTAGTTTTATTGGCTCAAGTTCATGCATGTAACAGGGCACCTGGATGGAGGGGATTTCCAGGTTGCAGAGCTGTGACATGAGTTTGCCTCACCAGCACTTTGCCACTGGAGAGGAACTGAGGCAGTGCAGTGACAGCCAGCAGGGAAGCTCAGCAGCTCCATGAGGGCAGGAACATGCCCCACACCATTGGCAGTACTAACTCTTACTTAGTTACATTCTAATACACAGGTTTTCCAAAAAGGGGGAGGAACTTTTTCCTTTTCCTCTCCTTCATTCCTCCCCCCTTTTAATGCACAACCCGTATCTGGACAGAGAGCACAAATGAGACAAGGTTTTTGTTTCTAGAGAGCAAAGCAGTCATTGGATCCCCTCAAAAATCAGAAGAGAAACGAGGTGAGAAGAGGAAAGCATCCGAGATGGAAGACAATGGCAAAAAGGTATGGTCAACTGGGCAGCAGCCACTTTGGGTGGGAAGGAGCTGAGGCACCTTTGGTTCTCTTCTCCTCTGCCTTCCATCAGGAGAGCTGGAAATCCTACAGCAGCACCCTAAGTTAAAAAGACACGTAAAGGCAGAAATAGCATCAAGTCCCCTGGTAAAGGCAGCAGATGGCTGGCCTCTCCAGTTTGTAGAGCTGATGTAACTGGGTTTGTCGTGCTAAAGGCCAATGTTCTCCTCACCCACTGACAATGTCCTGCTCTGTGAAGCATTGAGACTGCTGAGTGGCTGCTTTTCCTGAGTGCTGCATATGGCAGAGCTGGGAGGTATAGGAGAGAGCTGTCCTTTCTAGCCCATTGTGCAGCAAACTGTGGGAGTGTGATAAGAGTCACTGAGTCCTGATGAGCCTGGAGCAGTTATTGTGATATAAACACCAAGTTCTCCCCCGGGGTTGTTATGTTTTCCTACTTTAACTAAGAAGCATCAGCTTGTAAAGACAGACATTAAGATCATGGTTACTGGACCACATCAGCATCATCACTACAGGGAGGAATGGGATAATAAGTCTCTTTAGCTGGGACAGTGCCGTTCAGCTGGAACATCTGGCTTGCAGAGGACCCATGTGGGTGCTGCTTCTGTGTATGATTTAACAGTAGTCCCATTATTAGGTGTGGGATTAGAATGAGAACCGTGGGAACTGCAAACAGACTCGCTCATGCCTTCAAAGCTCTTTAGTGTCATTTCCAGACACTTCCAGGCTTTTCCAACCTGTGCTTCTCTCTCACAATCTGCAGATACTGCTGGACATATTCACTGGTGTGAAGCTCTATCTGTCGCCCTCTGTGAAGGACTATGACAAAATCCAGCGGTACTTTATAGCATATGATGGGGACCTTGTGACAGAGTCTGACACAGCCTCAGCAACCCATGTTATAGGGGACATCAATGATAATCCTGGTGCTAAGCGTGTGTCTCCCAAGTGGATCTGGGAGTGCATCCGGAAGCAGAGGCTGGTAGCCCCATGCTAGCAATGGGGGGCAGCTGAGCAGTCCTGACACAAGAACAGCTGAGAAGTAGGTAGGTGGAAGAAACAGTGAGGTTCCTCTGTGGAGACGTGGATAGAAATGAAGTGCCCACGACCATCCGAGGTAGTTCTAAAGATCCATATGGAATCAATTAAAACAGCTCTGTGAGGAAGTGTCACTGCTGACTCTCTTTTTCTGCCCATACTGTAGGCTGCTGCACTTACCCTGGTGCTGCTTTAGTTTCTGGGTTTTTAAAGTCTGGGTATTTTTATAGATAAATAAAACTGAAGCAGTTGCTCCTTTGCTGTCAGGACTTATTTCCCAACAGTTACTCTCTGCTGGGCCAGGAACACAGCCCATCAGCCCTGGGAAACCACCAGCTGTGGACTGCTGCATGGCTACAACTCACATGAAGGACACGTGTCCTGCTCCTGCTTTGACTTTGCTTTCCTAACACTCAGCACAGGTCTGTATCTGGTGGCAGTGTGCACCTCTGCGGTAGGTTTCATACCAAAACTGGGGCACCAAATGATCTTCCATTGCAGCAACTGCTGTAGCATTCTCTGAGCATCCCCTTGGGGGGTTTCTTCTCTAGAATATGCTGCTCTTGTTTCACCAAGGAAAAGTCGAGGCAAGAAGAATTCTACCACCTCAGTAGTTGCAACACCTTATCTGAAGCTGTTCACAGCTACTGCAAGTACTTGAATATTAAGGAAATAAGGAAGATGGGGTTTAGGAACAGGGGTCCATTTTAACTGTTAGGCAAATACCACTGTGACTCTGCATGACATACTCGTGACTGCATGAGCAGGGCGGGTGCATGTGTACATGATGGAAGGAAAGTCAAGTTGACCAGTTTACTGGTTTCTTTAACCTCAAGGGTGCTCTCCCCTTTGTAATCTCCCCCCCATTAAGACTGCACTGCTGAAAGTTAATGTGTGTTTGTTACCTTCTTTCCTTCAACCTCTCCTGTACTTGTCCCCCACCTACTGCTGCTATTTAAGCGCCTGCTCTCCCAAGCCTTTCCAGGTTGAAGTTCAGAAGCAGCTGTAGGAGCTCTGCTTTCTCCTGGCCTGGTGGCAGCAGTCAGAAACCAAGGTTAACTAAATCACAGTTCGACTTTATTATAAAATTATAAACCAAGCTTATGTACCAAAACTAGGAAGTTTCACCATCATCGTACCAAGAGGATTTGACACGCCAGTTCAAGAAGAATATCAACTTTTAAAGTATTTAAAGTATGTACAGTGGACATAAAGCACATAAATATTACCATTTATTAGTTCAGATCATTATATTTAGTCAGTTTCCTCCACATTTTGATTTTCCTTTAAAAACAACTCAGCCACAAGTAGAAAATCATTTTTGCAAGGGAAACTCTGTAGCCAGGAGACAAAAACAGAACCTCCTCCCTTCAGAAAGCACGTTTCGGGGGGGGGGCCCATATTCTCATTCCTAAGGTTTCAAGCATTGATCCACAATCTGATTTATCTGCTGTAGAAAATAAGTCTACCCTCTCCAGGTACATCTGTCTGCAGGGGAATCCTCATCTTCCTGCTTCCCCCCAGCCCTGAGTTTACTGAAAACTATGACAACATGAGTTTTCACAGTGAGTTTATGAATGAGGCTGTTCAGCACTTTGTGTGTGTATTCCTGTACCTCTGAGAGGTCCCTGTGAACCTCCTGAACAGTAAATGCAATGACTGCTTACCTGCCCTTTCTTTAACGTGGTGCATGGAATTGTACCGGTGCTCATCTCCTGCTGGAAGCTGTTAAACCTTAAGCCTAATATTAAAGAACAACCTGAACACAGAAAGAGGGAAAGCTCTGAATTCTTAGTTCAGTAAACCTCAGTAGTGCAGCAGTTCTGCTACCAACTGACAGATATCTTCAGCTTAAGTGCTTTGTTAACACTCATAGAGACCCTCCACTCCATGCCAGTTGAGGAGTTCCTACTCATGCAATACTGCATGTTAAAGATGACACCAGTTTAATTCCCTGTTAACATACATTACCACTTACTGCAAAAGTAGATGTCTTTGGTGATGGTTTCTGTAACTGCACTTCTGCTGCTCCAGGAGCTGTAAGTGGACACTTGCTTTTGTGCTGTTGTTTGCTGGCAGCTGTGCAGGGACGCAGCTTGAACACTAAGTGATCACTCCCCATGAAGGGAACAAACCTGCAGCAGAAGCTCCTCAGCAAATGACTTAAAACGAGTGTACAATCCTATGGTGGCTGAGAACTTAAGGCATCAAGATTCTGAAACTCAGGGAGAAGTATGCCAGCTACAGCTCTCTCTAGCAAGGCTTCCAAATGAACATGCTGCTCCTGAGGGCTTGCACTTGTCATGAATCAGACCAGAACCTCCTGTCCACCCTCACAAGCAGGAGTGAAAATCAACTGCTTTGATAAGCAGTCTGCATGTACAGGAGTAAGAGTGAGCAAAGGGGAGGATGGAGGAAGCTGTTTACTAAGCAGAAGCATCTGTAATGGTTTGAGGGAGATAAAGCTTCCTTTCATATCTCCTCTCTAGAAAGAGTCACCTGCACTTAAGCATGATTGTGTAACATCAGAACCCTTACTGCTCTGTAGCTGTGTCTTGGCCCCACTAAACCCTCAAACACTCAAGCCTTAGATTTGTAGCTCCTTAATCAAGTGAAATGAGTTCAGGTTTGAAACTGAAAGTCAAAGGGATCTCCCTGGTGTGTAAAGCAACCCGCCACACGAGGTCAGGCTCCATGGGCCAGAGTCTCACTCCTGTTCTGGGTTTCAATACTACAAAGTCCACCTTCAAATAAAAGCATACAATTGTACACCGTTGCACTAGGCTAGACGTGTTTATTGTGCTATGGGGGGGGAGGCTGGCTGCCTGTCCTGCAAGCATAGGAGTTTAACATTACATTAAAGGTAAGAATTAACAAGTACAATAAATTTTCATCTTTGAAAATAAAAGTTGGTGCTGGGTGTTGAGCCTAAGCAGCAAAACAAAGGTCACCCTCTGAGATCCCACTGCGCTTGTATTTACTAGTCAGGGGAAAATATGAAGCCTCTGCATCTCAGCTTTGTGGTGGGAAGCCAAACATCCCTGGATCCCCACCTCTAACGGATCAAGTTATCCTAGAACGTAGGTGAACAGTTTGTGTGTTTGCTGCTGGCAATGAGCTCCAAGGAGTCCAGGCACTGTGGTGTAAAGCACTATCATGGGAAGAGCACAGCCAGGCATGGCTTGGGTAAGAACAAGTTTTCTCAGGCTTCATCCCTCACCTCCAGCTTCCAGTGGGGTCCATGTGATAACCTCTGACCTAACTAGTAGCTATTTTGACCATTTCTCTCACAGCAGATGAGGCTTTAAGGCATTCCCAGTCTTCCTTCCACACACTCAGGACTTAAAGACATGGACGGCCCTTATCACATACTGCCGGCAGATGGGACACTCGCTCATCTGCTTCCCGCACTTGGTGCAAGTGACCATGTGGCCACATTCCAGCAGGATACAGTCAATGGGGGCATCCATGCAGATTTTGCAGAGGTTTTCCTCCGTGCCCAGGCGCCCAGCGCCACCTGAGTAAACAAGAGAGCAGGGTTGGCATGAGACAAGGGAACAGAAGGCAGGTACGTTGTCTCTGAGCAGTGTGCGAGTTGGCTTTACCCAGCTTCTCTGATGGACTTGTGCACACTGAGGGTATGAAAAAGAAATGCTTGTGCCTGACTAAACTGATGTGGAGGTATCTGCTCCAGCGAGGGGCAGGAAGTTTTAGCTTTTAGAGTCCTCTGTGCGATGGAAACAGAGATACCACTGAGATTCTTAGCAATGAGGCAACATGGATCTCTCTTCACTAAGTGACAAGCAATAGGACAAGAGAAAATGGCCTCAAGTTCTGCCAGGGGAGGTTTAAATTGGATGTTAGGAAAACTGTGTTCCCCAAAAGGGTTGTCAAGCACTGGAACAGGCTGCTAGGGAAGTGATGGAGTTACCATCCCTGGAGGTATTTGACAGACATGTAGCTGTGGCACATGGGGACATGGTTTTGGCAGTGCTGGGTTAACAGTGGGACTTGAACTGAAAGGTCTTTTTCAGCTCACAGTTCCAGGATTAAGAATATCACTTACCAGTTTGATCATCAGTGTCAGAAACTGCAACAGAAGAAGAGACACTTATTTAGTGAGAATAATGGAAGCTGGGGGAAAAAAACCATGTTTCTCAAGCAGTATTATTAACAGGACGAAAGCCTTGAAGGGAGATCACTTACACCAAACCTGCCTTTTGCTGATCCCCATGCAGGGGCTAAAGCTGAGGCTCTGATCAGGATAGGCTCAACTGACCAGAACTTTCTCTTCTGCTGTGCTTGCACAACAGCCAATGCTTCACAAAGCTCAGCAGCCACCTACAGTGATGTGTCAATGCTTAACACAGAATCAGTGCAGTGCTTGGTTTCCAAGAACTACACTTTCAGTTCCTTTGGTGTTTCACAATGTCGCCAATATTGCTGAGCTCAGCCAAGACAGGCAACAGGGATTGAGAGAAAAGGGCAAGTGCTGTCAAAAGCACAAGATCCAATGAAAGAAGAATATAAACCCAAAGCAGTTGTCTTAAATCTTGTTAGCATTCACAGAGGACAAAGCTTAGTTTTTAAGACAACAAAGCTACACTGGACAAACAGAAACAATCCATTTCTCTTGGAAGCCATTTACAAGTGTGTCTCTTTTAACCTTAGAATTGCAGACTGGCACCTGCAAGTCAAGCCAGGCACGTTCTCTATGACCTCTAGCACACCACCATCCAACCCTGGTCAGTGTGCAGGCCTGGCAGTGCACTAGAGGAATGCTCTTGTGACCAAGAGTCAAAGCACAGCTCCCTATGGCTGGGCAGCAGTGGGCACCTGCCTGCTCTGAAGTGCCTGGCTGCCTTTGGGTGGCATTTTCCTGCTCACTTTGCCAGTCACCATGAGTTGACAGATCAGAGCTCACACTCATCCCTCTGCAGTCACACATCAGCCGTTCAGTGGGTGATGCAGTGACTGCACGATCTGCCACAGAGGAAGGGTGCAGAGCTCTCCTTTGTTGCTAACAGAGGGAAGCCACTCTCCAGAGCTACCATACTGCTCTCCTCTTAAACAAGTACAAGCAGTGGTGAATAAAAGTTTAGCTGCTTTCACTCTAACCTATGTAGCACTTTCTCCTCCCTTGCACAAAACAGAGATGTTAAGTTCTAGTTCCTTCTGCAACTGTCCGTCAAAAGGGAAAAGCTGGAAAACAGGCACATGTTTGCTCAGTTCCTTACCTAGATGTTGAAGGTCTTTCTCTTTATAAAGACGAGTCACCCTCTCCAGCAGCTCCCACTTTTCACAGCAGCCTTTGTAGTTGACAAAGTTGCGAGCAAGGATTTCCTTCAGCTGTCGCACGGAGAGCGCGTTGATGTCTCCAATGCTTGTCAGATCAGACAGAGAAGCCTTCCTCCCCTGCACGAGGTTATCTTCGGAGTCCGTAGACTGAAAGGGAACAAAGATGGAGTGACTCTTGCCCTCAACACATAGAGCTACAGCTTAAATCAGCTTTCAGTGTGTGCTAGCAGGGATGCATGTTTGGATATAAATACAACCCTGATTCCTCTGTGAATTCCCCCATCTACCAGAAACACAAGTTCTAGGATAAAAATAAATCATTTCCATTAGTATAGTGTCCAAGAACACCAGTTCTTTTCACATGAGGAGGACACGATGATGCCAAAGAAAGTGGTTGATAGGGTCTGCCTGTGGGCAGCCTGAGTTCCTGGTTAGCCCCCAGTCTCTCTGCAGTAATGATTCTCTGGCAGCAAACACAGCCTCGAAAGCCTGGTATTCCTGGTTATTAATCCCAGGACACACAAACCTGAGTCTCCTCCTCTGCTTGTGCTTCAGCTGCAATCTCAACTCCTGTCAAACCAACTTGGCTTGGAGGCACGTAACCATTTGCCTAGAAGAGGAAATAAAGCTTTCACTAACAGCATGTCTGTGTGTCCAAAGCAAAATAAACTCAATATTCAGCATGACCCTGCCCACAGCCAGGGGTTGGAACAAGATGATCTTTAAGGTCCCTTCCAACCCAAACCATTCAGTGATCCAATGATCATTCTGTAACTGCAAACGCTGCCCACTGGAAGCACAAACTGCAGCACAAAGTATAAGTGAGGCACACTCACAGGAAGCTTTTCCTTAGTGTGCATCACTTACAAAACCAAGTTTGGAATAAGTAAAACTCTGAAACTGAAATCACCATCTGACCATTTAAAGCCTCACTTTATTTAAGCCCTGACAGAGTATATGTACAGCAGGATCCCACATAAGGTTCTTATGAGGCTGGATCAGGAGCAGACCAAATTTATACACACACACACACACACACATATATATATATATATATATATGCGATCCTTCAGTGCAGTGTAGCAGTGTGCTGTGGTATGGTATGACAGCCCTGGTGGTACATTGCTGCCAGTACAAGGCTCTGTATAACACAGCTTAAAGCCAACAGGTCATCTTCAAGTAACCACAAACGCCTCCTCCGGTGGGTTCTGGACTGGACAAACAGGAGATACCACATGAAGGACCAGCAGCAGCAAAGCTGGAGATGAGGAGAAGCAGCTGCTTTGAGCACTTAAAGTGAAAGGAAGTGCAGTGTCATTCAAGCTGACTCCTCCCCAGCAGCTGCCGTTCCCTTCTGTGGTTTCCCTATGACAAAGGAGACTGTAACGTTACCATCCTACTTATCTAAGTGGGGAGTTGTTAATATTTACCAAGTAAGAGGATAACGATAACGATGAAAGAGCCTGAGCTGCAGCAGGATGCCACGCAAACGGAGACAAGCTGACATGTATCATGAGGGCAGTAAGGGAAGACAACAGAGCTGAATGTGCTGGTAAAAACTGGAATGGCAACAGCCAGAAACCAGTCTTTTAATGGTCTGTGAGAAGTGTCATCCCAGGAAAGCTCTTCTTTTGCACTACATACATCTGCTGAGGAAGCAGGAGATACATACACTTTCACAGCTTTGATCCATAGGGAACTAAATACACCTATTAGCCTCCTAATAGGACTAGGAGCAGATGTCAAACACGGAGTAAACTTTCCACAGCAGATAGCAGAAAGACAAACAAGGCAAAGTCAGTGAAAAATAATTAAGCTCCAATGCCCCTGCCATGGTTCATTACAGACTGCAGAGTGAATAACATCCTCAGCTTTGTCTTCTGTTGGTCTGAGTGCAGAAGGCACCAAAAACCTCACCAGTACTGCAATCATCTCTCATGAGTTTCAGTTCCAAAATGGATTTAAACTGTGCTTGTGTCTTGCACATGAATTAAACAATAGTAACCATTTCTTCTAACACCTACAGACAACTGTCAGAAAGCCGTCGACATCAACACACCAGACAGATCTGTGCACTGACACAGCCATCGGGTACCACAGCAATCAGCTACAGAGGATCTAGTGGCAATGGCGTATTTGCACCAGAGCACCAGAGGAAATGCATCTCAAAACAGTGGTGGAGTTCTCCGAGTGAAGGTTCAATATACTCAGCACTGCCCACCAAATTCCATACTGTAGAATGGGAATAGCACATCAAAGCTGGTGGTGGCATGTTGAGCTTTTGGCTGGGATAGAGGTAATTTTCTTCCCAACAGCTGGTGCAGTGCTGTGGTTTGGATTTAGTGTGAGACCAATGCTGATAACACACTGATGTTTTAGTTGTTGCTACGTAGCGCTTACCCAAAATCAAGGACTTTCCAGTCTCTCCTGCTCTGCCAGTGAGGAGCTGCACAAGAAGCCAGGAGGGAGCAGAGCCAGGACTGCTGACCTGAACTAGCCAAAGGGATATTCCATACTATAGAACATCAGACTCAATACAGAAACTGTGGGGAGTTGGCTGGGGGCTGATCACTGCCTGGGGACAAGCTGGGCATCAGTCAGTGTGTGGTGAGCAATCGTATTGTGCATCACTTGTCTGTCATGGGTTTTATTCCTCTCTTTCTTATTATCATTGTTATTACATTCTACTTTATTCCAACCATTAAACTGTGCTTATCTCAACCTGCAGGTTTTACCTTGTTCTTATTCTCCTCCCCATCCCACCAGGGAGGGGCAGGGGACAGTGAGTGAGCAGCTGCTGGTACTTAGTTGCCAGCTGGGATTAAACCACATCACAGCAAGTAGGTTTTACACACAGCAAGGCAGTGCAATCTAACTCATCTTGCTTCCTAATCACTCTGTAAGAAACTGAAGTTCTCACTGCAAAATCAAAACCAAACCCAAGTATAAAACACGACTGAAGTATTCTGTCATCTGTTCTATACAGAACCCTCCTTGCTTTTTAAGCAGGTATAACATAACACTTAACATAACACTTTTCTTGGCACGTATCTACTTGGAAAACCTCATGCACCCTCAGTAGCTAATTCAAAACCAGAGAGGAATGAGTCTGCAAAAGATGCTTCTGGCTGGAGACTGTACCTGTTCATGTTCCTGAGCTAGTGAACTTGAGACGGGATCTGCAGACCCTGGAGATGCATCATGTGAGGTAGAAGATGCGGGGCCGGTTGGTGGGAGAATCACAAAGCCTTGCTGTCCAGAGGCACTAGTATGAAATGGATTTGTTCTTATCTGATCTTCTTGGGTAATTACCGGCTGCTGGCCAAGAATCAGCAGTACCAGGTCCTCCTTTTCATGACACAACTCTGTGGATACCTCGTGGAGTGCCAAATAGTCTCGCAGATCCTTCACCTTCATCTTCATCAACTCCTCCCGCTGAAAAGCTGTGGCTTGGAACCGCTGGCAGAGGTGGCAGAGGAGGGGACCACCGTCAGCCTGGCTGGAGCAGGACGTACAGAAGTTCTTCTTGCAGTCCAAGCAGACGTGCTGGCAATGAGAAGGGAACAAAATCAAACCCATCCATGACCTGCAACAGAGGCACACAACGGCTGCGGGCAGCGTTCCCCTACCACCTGAAAGGCAAAGGAAGCAAAAGCCTCTGATAAAGCATCACCAAAACCTCCTGCTTTATGAAGTGTCAAGTTTGTTACTTGTGTTCCTAGATCAGGAAAACCCCCATTTACCCAGAATGAAAAGTTAGATTCTTAGCCTCTTCCCTCAGACAACAGGCATATTCTGCACCTTATTCAGGACCTGTTCATGCAGTTTAAGCCACAGGTGAAATCAGGAGATACCTGTGAGGCGGCAGACTTTGAAGTAAATTACACCTAGTTGTGCACTGCTTCATAAAACAACCAAACCCCTGCAAATTAAGAAAGCCCTGGCACTGGAGGGAGCTACTTAAAACCCTTTCTCCATCAATGAGTGACCTTCCCCCTTGGTTTTTCTTTCCTCCATTTGCTGCAATCACTGAATCAATCTTTATTTTTTGCCATAAGAGGGAAAGGAAACAGCAATGCTGAGTGTCTGACAGACATCAAAGAATCCAACATTTATTTATGCAACAAAAATAGCCAGCTTCTGCTGAAAATACCAGGCAGGCCATGTGCCAGTTAGGTGCTAGGCAGAAAGTGTTGGAAGGTTTGGAAACAGCAGGCACCAGATGTTGAAATCTCTACAGATTCAGTTCTGTTGGTCAAAGTCTCTATTTTATCCTGTTCTGGTCTCCTCACTCAGGGCTCCATTTTCAAGCACTCCCAGTCCATGGTGACTTCTGCAGAAACTTGGCTATTCAGGTGGGAAGTCAAATCCTATGTTTTCCAATAGGAAGAGCAGCAGAACAGCCCCATTGCATGGCTTTTTAAAAAGTCCAGAGGGAAGAAAGAACTGGTTCAGCACTGGAGAAGACAAGCACCCCTATGAAATGCTGACACCCTGAGCCTTTGGAGCCACGCAAGGAGAAACACACGTGTGTATTGTGTGTGAGTGGAGAAGCAACAAATACAAACTCAGGGACAAAAATATTGCTTCTCCTGATTAAAGAACATTTTTAACTTCACAGTCCAAAGCAAGCAGATGTTCCTAATGGTGGAAATGCACTGCTTGCTTACATGAGCTCCTTCTGATCCCCTGGCAGCCCCCTTGTCCCACACATCCTTTACATTTATAACCAACATGCTTCTCATTTAGACCCTGTAATACACTTACAGTGACAGTGGAAAGAATCCCCACTTCCTGCCTAAGCACTTTAAGACATGAAAGTTTCTACCACAGAGAGAACCTCTGGTCACACAAGCTTGAAACCTCATCTCCGAATCGCTGTTTGGGGGCCTGCCAAGTAGAAGTGGCTTTCATCAATGACACAGCAGGGAAGGAAGGGAAATTTCCACATACCTGTTTTGAGAAGTTTTCCTTCACTTGGTCATTAGAATAGAACCCCATTAGTATTTGCCTGTCTTCTTCTGACCTTACAATTGCAGGAGCACTCAGGGTATACTGGTTGTGCGCATGTCTAGAGCAGGGGAACAAACATTCCACAAAGGCAGAGGAATGGGAAATAACCCCATTGACAACACTCACTCTCTCTCAACCATCCATCTGTGACAAGGGAGCAATCAGAACTGAGGAAGAAAACAACCAAACCCCAAACAGTCCTGCTTTGCTCTGGGCAGGGGGAAGCCTCCACCACACTCCAAAGGGAACCATTGTATGGCCAAGGACCTTCCAGCCAGAGAACTCCTACTTATTTACATGGTTAGACATCACATAAGCAAGCCCAGCACAAGGGCTGCATTATCCAACGTGGGTTTTGGAAGCAATTAACAGTAATAACACAAGCCTGCCTTAGTTATCAAATGATACAGTTGAGGAGTCAAAATAAACCCAGGCCTGTCTCTGGCTTATCAGTTCAGCACTAGGATTTATCTTCAGAGAAAAAAAGCTCCCCAGCCTGTATCTAAGCATCAAGTATTTAAACATGCACAGAAGCTGTCTGGAACCATCTCAGCATTAAGCAGCTTTTACAGCTCTGAGATATTTGCTGAACTTTAAGGACACCAGTCTCTTCAGAATGATTACTTTCAAATGTTGCTGTAAATGAAAACCTGTTCCGAAAAGGTCAGGCCACTTCTGACTGATGCTCACTGACAGTCACAGCGTGGGCAAACACAAGGGAAATGCTTCAAATCAGCAGCCTGTCCAGAGTGGAAGCTGCTCCTGGTTGTTTGCTCTCACAGCCAGTCTCCCAGAGATACCAGGATGGGGCTTTGATACACTTGGCTCTTGTCTGTATGCAGGATAAAATGAAGGAATGCCAACATTCAAGCTCTCACTACAGCTACTGTTGTTCAGGGGTTTTTTAACCTTACAGTCCAGCTTGCCAGAGCTTTTCCTGCAAGTATGCAAAGAAAAGCATCTTCCTGAAAATGTCAGCCAATTGAGGGCACTGAAATCAGAAAATGGGGAGGAAGGAATAACAATATGACACATCCACTGAGAATTCCTGCCACAGCCTTCTATCAGCAGAGAGGGAAATGAAGGATGCTCAGTTTACATTGAAAAGATTTTGGGGAAGCGGTCTGCTGCAGAAAACTAAGATCAAAAGTCATCAAAGAGAAGGAAAACACCAAAAACTTAAGAGATTTTTGCCCCCACAATTAAGTTTTACATTCTTTAAAGATGCTCCAACAGTTACTTATAAGTGTCTCATAAGTACAATCAAATGTCCCCTACCCTGACCCTTTTAGTAGGTGCCATGCTGTACAGTAATTCCAATACAATTAGGATAAAAGGCCAGGTTCTCCACATGCCACCATCCTGCTTTGGGGCTGCGGGTTGGTTGTTGGTTTGGGGTTGTGGGTTCTTTTTAGGGAATCTAGGTTATCCTTATGGTCACCAGAGCAGAAGGAATTCATTTCTGTCCATTGTATTCCAGTAGAAACATTAACTGGACACTAGAGTTCAAAGGTATTGACTCTCCTGGGAGAGAATGCAGAGTTTTCCATGCTCTTGTTGCAGCAGAGTGAGATCTCACACACTTCCCAGTCCGGATCAACAGCATTCGAGAATTAACATGGCCACAAGCATGTCAGTGTTCTGTAAGCTCTGTATTCAGTTCCCTGCTGGAGACCAGGGAGTGGTGGATGAGCTCTAGCAGACTTCCCAGCAGCTGTTAAAGCTTTGCCACCCAGCTCAAGTCAGTCCCAGAGATCTGCTGGTTGTGGTGGCAGAAGGAAGGTGGAATGAAGGTTCAGGAGCCTCCCTTCTCTACACTGAATCTAAGCCTCAAACTCCTTTTCATTGGTAGCCTGCACTGAATGGGAGCAGCTGAGACACAAGCACACATTGTACTCTGCTGCCCCAGTTATGCTGTCAGCCAAGTTGCACAGAACAGCGTCTGCTGGCGGCAGAATGTCTTGAACTGCTTCAGCAGATCCTCTACCACGTACATTTGTGCACCAGAGCTTTAGCTAGCCCCAATCAGTCAGAATGGTTTTGCATATCTAGAGCAGTAGTGATTGCTCCTATAAAAGACATTGCTTCAAAGACAGCTTACACAGAACATAGAATTTAGAAGATAAAGGAAAAATGGGACTATGGTTCCAGCACTGCTGCTGTGTAATTCATACTTAACTGGGTGAACTGTTTTCATTTCAAAAGCAGAATCCTCTACATCCACTATTTGCTACTATGCTCAACCGGAAGCACTGGATCCAGAGTAACTCCCTCCACAAGTGTTTGTGAAGGCACATCACATTAATGAGGACAATGTTGAAGATGACACAGTGTGTGGAGTGATATGCAGTGATTGCACTATTCTAGCTGCCCCAGAACATGCCTACTGTCAGAAAAAGCCTAAGCATCCTTACACACCCAAAATACATGATTGTATATGTAAGACACTTAAACCACAGAGTATGGACACTGAACAACTTTACACATAAAAACGTTTTTCAAGCAGCATTATAGAAACCACCATGGCCAAATAATGCCCTAGACAGGGTCTGCTGCCCAACTAAAAGTCCTGTGGCAACAATTGTTTTGGTATCTATATGCTCATAAATGAACTTTACAAGCAAGATAAAATGGATTTGGTCTTTTATAACTTTCTTCTACACACAGCCTCAATAAGCCTCTATGCTTTTTAGTTTAAGCAGCAATAGTCTGGAAAAGAGAACTGTAGGTCCTCCTTTACTGGAAGCACAAACGGAGGACTGAAATTCTGGCCACAACTAATTGAAAGGACATCAGTGCTTTTAAATCTATTTCAAAACTCAAGTTCAACTCATGCTCCTTCAAAGGGTCATAAGCAGTTTGGCTTTCTTCTTTCAGAGCCTGGGAAAGCCAAGTGTACTGAAGGTTAACTACCACATTTCCAGTTATCTTTAACTATGCCTGCTAAGGATGAAAGAATGAGTAAAGACAGAAGCAAAGGCAAGCTCTCTTTTCCCATATGGAATGTCCTCAAATCAGAGGCCACTAATGTGCACTCTTCAAAGTGGCTCTGTTGTTAAGTGGAAGTCACATATCATTCTGGCAAGGAAGACATTTGCAACTCACCTTCCTGGAGGAGCTGTTGAAGCACACCCCACAGGCTTTGCAGCTCTGTTCCGAAGTGGTTGGAGATGGGTAGGAGCTGTATCCAGGGTTGGAATAGGCTTGGGCTCTGGCTCCCTGCTCTGGCTGGGGCTGCATCTCTTCAGGGGAGCCATCCAGACAAAACCAATTACAGCAGCTTGCCCACATAGTAACTGAAAGAGGGAAAGATTCACATTAGAAGGGACATGGGAAACAACCTGTCAGCTAAAGGGAGAGCAAAGCATAAAATGCCTGTTTGAATTTGCCACCATCAATTCACTTCTGACAGTGTGTTTGTAAGTTTTGATCTTTAACTTTCAAGCACATGCAAAAACCACACACCCAGTCCAGCATGGAAAGCCTTTGGTGAGAAAGGACAAATAAAGTTCAGGAATTATCACTGGAATTCCTTAGGGTTAAGAGATTACAGTGAAGATATGATCAATTTTATGTTCCAGTTGGCTGTATGAGACTATGATCCAGTTTGCTGTAACAGGCTGTGCCTACTCCACGTAAACCTCATATACTGACTTTGGTTTTTGCGCATTGGGAAAAGCAAGCAGAAGTTGTGTCTCATCCATTGTTTAAATAAGAACAGCAGCAAGATCATAGACAGTGTTCAGTTTTATTCTAAATTCTCTCCAGATTTACAGATGAAACCTAAAAGGATAAGAGACAAGGACAGTGGAGCCGCTGATTTAATATATGCCAGTTCTCAACTGAATCTGCAGCATTACAAGGCTAAACCATCAGACAGCAAGTAAATGTCAGTAACATAAGAAAATCAAACACCAGCTTCTGGTAACATACTTGGGAAAACAATTGCATTTGAGATGGAATCACTTGGGGGTTTATTGCAAGTCAAATAATGAGAGAGAGACAGAAAGATACACACTTACCTAACCCTACCAGTCCAGTGCAAAGTGCAGTTCTGTAGTGTTGGAAGACCACCCATGCAGCAGTATTCCAGAAATACACCGCTGCAAACTTGCTTTTGGGAGTTTACAAAGAAATCAGAATGCATCTGGGCATTCAGTTTCTAGAGCATACCCCATGTGTCATCACTTACTGGTAAAGAGAATACAAACCGCCTCCTCTGCGTTTCTGTATTCACACTGCTGTTCCTGGACCACGTTTCTTTTATGTCTTGAAAATGAGCTCCACCACTGATAGCGTTCAGCAACTGCTTCATTTTATAAACTTCTGGAAATGAAACATCTCTCAGCTACACAGCCAATTCATTTCTTTCCCCTCACTAAGTATTGCCACTGTAAAACTCCAGCTTCCTAAGGGATTGGGGCTGGTATGAGTCCTAAAGGTTATTTGATATAATATAGCAACATACTGTTCTGTTGGTTTCTCCTTTTTAAGCTGTGTTAAGTCTTTTGGGTTGATGGAGTTGAATTGGGAAGGTTTTGCAGTTTGGTGCTGTTCCAGTGTCTGTAGCTTTAGTGGCATCTTTAATCCTTTCAAAATGCAGCTGAATTTGGCTCGTCAAAGTTGCTGCTGTCATGGGAGTGGACATATGCCTTTGAAAGCCCACAATGGTGAGCTTACCAATGAAGTCTACCCTGCAGGCTCAGCACATTTTAATGTTGAAGTGAAACTCTACAGATTCATGACACGAAAAACAATTCTTCGTGTAACTGATGAGCGCAGTGCTGCAGTATAATCTGCACTTAGACTGGCAACTAGAGCTTAATACGTGGAGAGAAGCGTTCCATGAACAGAAATAACCTCTCATGCATTTGCTTTCACTCTGCACTGCCATCAAAACACGTACTTTAGATATCATACAGAAAAGAATGACTCCTTTTCCTTCTGCACATTCATTTTCAAGCTGTCGCTCCCCACTCAGAACTTAATATGCCCTTTCTATTGCAGAGATCCTGAATTTCTATTTAAAACTATGCTGTTTGGAGGTTTAATTTGTTCCTAGGAATTGCAAATCTAAACAACATGAAAGCTGCACAGTCAAGTATTCCCAGCCTCCCCAGCAGTGGAAAACTGCATCCACAGTGAAGTTGCCTTCCTGTTTCAAGGACCCCTACAAACTGAAGACCACCCACGATAACAGAATACGTAAATGCTGCTGCCTGCCTCTAAAACTTTGTTTTCCTAAAAAAAAGACAGCCCAGTAATTCACTCTGGAACATTGCAACATGACAAACATTGGGAAGAAAAACACAAGGGAGCACACAGACCAGGATAAAAGAAGACAGAGCTCAGCATTCAGATGGAGTTGTAGTTTTGTGTAATTGCCAGGAAACGAAAAGGTTGACAAAAGGCTCAGAGGTTGCTTTAGAAGAACCTTAATCCTGCTCAGCTACAAAGGCATGGAAGGAAAATGTCCATAAATAAACAACGAATAACCAGGCCTGGCCTCTGCTCTGTAATGTTTTCCCAAAGGTATCTCCCATCTTTAAGAGAAAGGAGCACGTGGAAACATGAACAGCCATTCATACAACTCAGGCATGCCACCTCAGCCTGTGCCTGGGTGCATCACTTCTGGTTATTTGAGGACCTCTGCATACAGATGTACGTTTCAGTTAGGGAAATGCAGCACTTACACTGACAAAGATGCTCCACTGACAACTGCCTTGTGCTGACACTGACAGCCACACAGAAGCAAAGAGCTCTCGCTTCTCCAGCAGCAGCTCAGGATGGTGGGTTCCTGCTGAGCACATCCTTTGCGCTGGGAGCAGGCATCCCACACTCCTTTTGTGCCACCACCAGCTCCTACACAAAGTGGGAATCTCCTCCAGGCACATGGAAGGGTACCTGCCAGCCAAGGTGAGTGACCATCATCTCTCACCATGGCACACACTGTGCCCCAGCTTAGACTAGAAAGAAAGCTCATATACATACCTCTGCCTATACACGGCCATTGTGCTCTGCCTTTGATTTTGTAGGTATCTGCTACCGTCCCCTAAATCCCAGGAGACTATAATGGCTGAAAAGCAACAATTACACACTGACACCAGCACAACATGCAGTAGATGCTACATGGGAACTTAAAATGCTGCCACCAGATCAGCAAAGCTTTGCTAACTGCCAGCTATGCTACTAAGCAGGTACAGCTGAGGCTTAAGATGCTAAAACATCTCTGTATCTACCTGCACTGCAGCTGCACTAAGACAACAAGAAGAAATGCAGGCAAGATTCAGCAGCTGCTTCAAGAGCAATTCTGTACAGAATCAGTTTTAGATCTGAGGAAATAAGCACTGGTAGGGTGGAATTTCCTAGACATCTCTACAATGTTTGCTATGGCCTAATTATTCCCTTATTTATTTTGTTACCCATTCAGAGCTATGTGGGCAGCACCGTCCAGAAGTTGATAACTGCTGTAAGCAATGCTTTGACAGATGGGTGGTTGTTGTTACAGATGCAGCAGAGTTTGAGCATCATGAGAAAGCACCTCCCTGTGTAAAGCCTGTCAGTCTTTTGCAGATGAACAGAGCCAGGAGCTCCATAATCACGCTGAAGTGACAAATAAATGCCCAGCCAAAACAGTTTATCAGCAGAAAGAGCTACTTCTTTGTTGTGCTCCAAGAGTTACCTGACTATTACTAACATGTTGGTTTGGAAAAGTTAACACCACCAGAGACTTCAGGAATTCTCAAGCAACTTCCTGAATAAAAGATGTTGACTTAGTGGTACGACTTAATGTTACAGGCATCACTGGTATCAGAAGTCTTCATTATTCTTGGATATCCTGCTCATACTGGCCAACAGGAGCCACAGAAAATCACTGTCCTAACTCTGGAGCTGAACATGGGTTTGGGAAGCTGAAAGCTCTATGGCAGGCACTCAGTAGATAATTTCTGGCAGCCAAAGAGTACCTGCCCTAAATCATAACTGCATGTTGTGCTTGGAGCATCTGCAAGAGCGAAGGGAGAAGGAGCTTCACCAAGGGTAGAGACAGGAGATCAAACACATCCACCCACATGGCAATCATCACACTGGGCTGGGGTTGGAGAAGCAAGACCGTTTTATCTTCTTACTGAGTCTCTTTAAGGAAAAGCCAGAAGAAATCCCATAAATACTTGACAAGGCCGGGAGCTGCTTGCCACAGTCTGTGGGCAAAGCAGTGCTAGCTCTCTATCATGCTCTGCTGCACTGCCTTTTTCCCCTTTATTTCCAGTAAGAAGCTTTGAATGCCATGACTCCCTCACTGATTTTAACAGAAGAGTGAAATTCATCTTACCACCCATTTATTACCATCTATACATCACCAAGAGCTTTGTATCCATTTGCAAGTATGATTTCATTCCGCAGGAAATACCAGTGATATCAAAGTTTTCCTGTTGAAGATGCTGTTCATAATGCAAGCTGGGAGTTTTAGACTTTCCATCTCCACTTTAAAAAGTCTTTGAACTCAGGTTCTCACTGCCTATGCAATATACAGTGAGAATAGCTGGAGTACCAAAGATTACTATCTACATACAGGATTTATTACACATGCTTTGTGCATTTCTATCAAAGGGAAGGCTTTGGCTCTATAGGAAAACTGTGGCTTATGTTTGGAAATAAAATTTCCCTTTATTTTCCCAAGAGTACAAACAATCAGGGAGTACAGCAAGCAACAGAACATCTCTCAATCACGGAGCTTCCAGCTCTGCCTAATAATACTCTCAAGGACTGGGTCTGGCTTCTTTTCATGACTGCTCAGGAATTTGGGGGCTGGAATGCAGTAGCACCAACAAGACACTTGAGTTAAGGGATCAAAAGGAACTGAGCTCCCACAGGCAGCTGGTTTTGCTTCTACATGAGGACAAGCCACAGCAACAAGTTCTCCTCCTCCTGAGAGGCCTTCTGGAACACCAGGGCTGATGACCCTTGAGGCAAATGGAGAAGGGTGCCAAAAAGGGAGGGAGATGCAAGACAAACAGCAGCTGTGCTAGGGCATGCTCCCCTACAATAATACTTGCTCATTAGCTCTATCAGCTGCCCTTGCACCTCCTAGTTTGGAGGAAGACTGTTCACCACAAGGAGCTTCTTTTCTATTAGCTCCCTGAACCATCACACTGCTCTTTCCATATCATGCCACTGGCCATCCTCTTTGACTACCTCCTTCTTACGTTTCAGAACGCCCCAATGATCCCAAACTGTCTTCTCCTTTTTCTCAGCAGCTTCCAGATTACTGCAGAATGTCTCGGTCTTCTCTCTTTCGTCAAACACCAGGCAACTGCCAACCTGCAGACTGCAGGGAGGTCTGTGTGCTTCAAATGCAGATGCTACACAACAGCCCATATCCAACCTGTTACCCACTGCGTGGCCTCCACAACAGCAAAACCACGGTCACTGGTAAGACACAACTTTCAAGGCAATACACTAAGGCTGGGATGAACACTCTTCACCAAAGCAGCAGTTTCTGCCATTTCTAGTAGCTAGAAGATCACTGAAATCTGTTCAGGAAGGCAGCAAAGGGCAGTGTGGCTTTAAAATACTTTTTGTCTTGCAAAAGCACATCTTAAATTATTGTTTTGCTATTATTAATGCATGTTGCATCCCTGCAAAGTTAATCAGATCAGACTTCCACTAATGCTGTTTTGAAATGGCTAAAGTATGAGTTAACCATCTTGGTGCCTCATTAATAGCACAAATGAGCGTAAATGCTCATTGCTCCAATTTACTTCTTTATTTATCAGTAAACCTGCACTGATAAGAAATGCCTTGCTAAAATTAGTTTCACTAATAACCTACTACTTCCAATTTGTAATCACAGCTTGTTTGGTCAGAAATTAGTATTTACTCAATAACAGGGCTATAATCTGCTCAAATGACATCTACGCATGCAGCATTATTTTTATCAGCCCATGTCACAGGCACACAGACCTGAGTTATGATAAATGGGAGCAACCATATGTCGGGACAGGTGGAAGTCAACAAATGAGCCACTTGTAAGAGGCGAGGGGAAGGAGGCAGGTTGCCAGTCTGAGCAGGACATTGGCACAGGTGACGTGTGAACCAGTCCAAAGCATGAGAATATGATGAGCAGGAATGAGCCGTGGCTGTTACAAAGCACATAAACCTCATTTGCTGTACTGAGCACATAAGGATTTTATCTAAGGATAGAAAAAACAATGTGTTTATGAGTAAAGGTACCAGTTCACATGTGCCTAAAGTGACAGCATGCACAGACTGAAAACAGTAAGCGAATAAATATCAGCACTGTATCACAGCTGGAAACATGAGTGAACAGGGGGGGAAAGAGAGATTGAAATTTTCCTTTGGAGGGAGGAGACATTTTGCCACTTTGTTTTGTGCCTTTGAGACATTTCATGTCTCTCACCATCTAAGTATGCAATACCAGTAATCTTTACAAAGACAAACACATGATTGCTCACCAGTCTGATCAGCAACTTGGATGCCAGTCTAAAGATTTTCAGGCGAGAAACTGGCCAGCTATGCAGGCAGAGGACAGGGCATCCGGGTAACCTGCACTGAGCTTAGTGAGAACCAGGTATCCAGGTTAGCTTCTGTGGCTTCTGAGCATCCAAAAGTGCCTATGCTATCAGGCACATCAGGGCGAGCAGCTGCACTTGAATAGCATCTCCAAGCTCACATCCACTGGCTCTTTCCAATGGACAGAGGAGGCTGACACGCATCCCATGCCCATACACTTAGACCTTCCCCGTTGCATGAAGATACTACGTGGCTCATAGTTCAGCTTGTGCCTTCCTGTAATCCATCTTCAGACCCTTTTTAACAGCATTATGTAGTTGCATCTGTGCTTCTCCACCTCAGAGATGCCTTCAAAAGCCTCTACATGCAGGCGCCAGGCATCCCAGAAGCCAGGAGCCGCAGTACATCCCAACACATCCAGATCCAGGAGCGTGGCACACAGCTGGATTCAGCAGTGTGTGCTGACGAGGTGCGCTGCTCCTCCAATCGTGCGAGCCCAAAGGGGAGAGCATTTGGCTGCACACCAGCATTTTAATCAAGGAAGTGACATCCATTTCCCACAGAGCAGAAAGTAAACAGCGTGGTCCGCTGGGGCAGGGTGCAAAGCAGCGCAGGGAAAAGCTGGAATGGGGCCACAGCAGTTCAGCCACACACAACTTCACTGAACTGCTCTCGCCTTAAATCACTGCTGATTCCAAGAGGAGTATCAAAAGTAACTTCAGTTATGTGGTACAGAGGAAACGATCATGTAGACAAAGATCCTTTTCTATTGCTAGAACCTGGTTGACATTGGAGTAAATCATTTACAAGGTGAGCCTTTAGAAAATGTGCTTAACTGAGAGGAAAATTAAGAACTGGAGTTCTTGAATACATGGGAAAAAAAATACAGTGGGTATTCCAGAACACTCTGCAGCTCTATCAGTGTTTATCAGCACACTGTTACAGTCATTTGCAAGCTTAGTCACAGCAACGCTTGCTGATGTTGTGTTTGTTGGAAGGTTTACACGCAGATCTTCAGTGAACTCACCTTTCCCCATCAGCAAATCCCACCAATGTTACAAGCACAAAGGATCTAAACTTCAACCCTTCTTTGAAACCAGAGAGCTGCAGTTTTCATTGTAAATCGGAGACAGTGGTCTCACAAAGCAGTGTGATTATAGAGTATTGGATGGGAAGCTCATTCCAAAGGCAGAGACCCCTTAATTCGACCCCCAGCCTCACACCTGAACTCAATACTCACCCACCTTCTCCTCTGTAGCACAGTAAAACCAAATGATTTTCCCCAATATCAACAAGAGAAGCTTGGAAATTCTTGTTTCAAACAGAGCTGGGCACCTGGCATATGCATTAGCTCAATATAAACAGTTTGGTTTCACCCCAAATTACACTTTATATATTGAGAAATATTTAGATATAACATTCTTCTGGCTATTAACTGTAATGAGGTCTGCAGGCATAGACAGAAATTCAACAACAGCCTTTTTCTTTTGCAAGTCAGCGATATTCTTCCAGCAAGTTAACCCAAACCAAAACATGGTTAATGAAATCAGGTGACCGGGTTTAGAAAATGATTCCTCTTACCCAGTCTCCCTTAATTCCTTATTCCCATGCCTCTTCCCAAATAATACGCTCTGACAGCAGACAGACAGACTATCATAGAACCACAGAATGGTTTGGATTGGAAGGGACCTTAAAGCTTACCCAGTTCCAACCCCCTGCCACGGGCAGGGACACCTTCCACTAAAAGCAGCTTGCTCCAAGCCCCTGTGTCCAACCTGGCCTTGAGCACTGCCAGGGATGGGGCAGCCACAGCTTCTCTGGGCACCCTGTGCCAGCGCCTCAGCACCCTCACAGGGAAGAGCTTCTTTCCAATAGTAACTTAAATCTACCCTCTTTCAGCTTAAAGCAATCCCCCCTTTTCCTGTCACTATCTCCCTTCCACTCTCTTGCTATGCTGAAAAGCAATTTAAAATCCCAGTGCATTCTTTTGCACTAGTGAGCTGCTCATCAGCTAGACAAAAATTACGTCAGGTGTAATACAGACCATGAACCAAGACAGAAAAAAGAAATCTCTGTAAAAATAAGATTCCAGAGTGTTCCATTTTATTACTATTCCTACCCTCCTAGCATCCTGTATGGGGGTGTGCGTGTCCCTGTCCCTCATCCTACACACTGAAGTGGCAGCTCTCTGTCAATACTTTAGCAATGACCGATGCAGGAACCCTGGACTATCACTGTCCATTTCAATCCTTCCTTTCCATTATGGGGAAAAAGGTCAATGCTGGCTTGCACCCAGAATTTCTTTCCCTGTGCAGTCACACCATCACAAGCCTCGCTGGGATTTACTTTCAGCCAGATTGCTTTTTCAAGCGGTAGGTAGCTGCTAAAATTATCATTTGATACATAGCAATAAAATGCTAAATTAAAACCTGAAAATTAAATCAGAATTTAAATAACATGTTGCTTCCTTAACGAGCTCTACTCGAGGGAGGCCGCCACTCCATCCTCTCCAGACTTCATCTCAAACCCCACCTAGAACATCCTACTGTGACAGCCACGTGGCAATAGCTGGGGGAGGTTAGCTGGATCCGTGCCCACCTGAAAGCCAGAAATGGTCTCCAAAGGTTCAACATAAGCTTTTCAGTGAGTCCTCCTCCTCGTAATGATACAAATGCCTCACTTTCTCTGCAAGTTCTACGTTGCCCAATGTATTTTATACATTATACATTGCTCAAAGTGAGTTTCTGCTCTGCTGCAAAGAGCTGCCATGAAGTAAATCACTTCAGCATTCAGATATTACAAACAAGCAGGAGCAGTTCCACAATTCCAGCAGGGACATCAAGGAACAGCTTTGAATTGCCTCAGCTTTCACCATGGAAGAAGGTAACCACTGTCAGATGGCTTTAATGATACTTTTCCCCTAAATAAGAGGAATGCAGGGAGCTGGAGAGAAAAGGTGAGGAGAAAGGATGTCAATTTGACATCACATCACTAGAGTTCCCATTTCAGATAAAAAGGAATCAAGATATTTCCATTTAAATCCTTGGCCCAAGAGGCCTATGAGACAGCTGCACATCTTGTTTCATTGTGACAGAAGGTTTCTCTCCAACTGGAAAACTTACATATTCAACAGCTCATCTTTGGAACGAAGCACAAGCATATGGGGCAGGTGAATGGAGGAGAAAGAGGCATTATCCCAGATACAGCTCCTCAAGCCTATAAAAACCCTTACCCCCAATCTACAGGGACTCAGGAAAACAGGAGGCATCTCAACACAGATTGCAGCAACGGGCACAGAAACTCCCTATCCCACCTGGTGTACAAGGATTCAGGGAGATGAAGCACTCTAAAGCATTTATTCCTAAAATAGAGGCAGTTCTAAATACAATCTTCAGTCTTGCAGTGTTACTCATCCAACAGCTGAGCTTGGGTTGGAGGTGGTACAGCATCAGTCAGAACCGCGTTCAGTTTGGATGCAATTGGGACTGCAGTTGGCACTAATGCTTTAAAGCTATCACTGTGTCTCAGACACCCAGAATTGAGTGTTTGCTGATAAGCTACACCACCAGTTGGAAATCCCATAAACTACTTCTTACGCCAAGCTTCAGGTTTATTTTTAAACAGTAAATTTCTACTTTTCCTTTTGCCTTCTATTTTCCCCCAGAAATCAAAGACAGCCTCAAAATTCCTCACAGACAAAGCCTGCTTCCCGCCCCCCCCCCCCCATTTCAGGAGGTAATCTAAAATTCAACCTAAACCCCATGGAATTCATGCACATGGGGAAGTGCACGTGCAGCAAAATTGCACACCACAAGGATGTGTGCAGACTGGTAGGCAACCTCTAACCTATTTAACTGCAGCCTGAAAAAAGGGTGTTTTTATTTGGCTAGATTGAAAAAAGATCTGAATGTATATAATTGAGGCACATCATAACAAGTACAAACACTGCAGACTCATTTCCTAGCTATGCCGATTCCAAATTAATCTGAATTCAAATCCAAACTAGGTGCTGAAATAGAATCAAATGCAACTGCATATCATCTCCTTTGGTAGGCATGTACAAAGACCAGCAGATACATCACATCGAAACAGTGTGGAAAGCTCTACTCTCCCAGACCACAGAAATACTCAGGGGTTTGTCAGCAGCTAAAGAAAGGTCTGGGATACTGAGTACAGCACTGAAAAGCAACAAACCTGAATACCAGTTTTGTTACTGAGACAAGAAAAGATATGAGAATAAAGAAGTCTGTTCATTTATGGCTTAATCACCTCATCTGAGGATGAGGAAAAATACCCCATCCTCGTTTGAGGTAAGTTGGTACAGGTGGAACTTTGAGAGACACTTTGAAGTTGCACTCTTAAACCATTTCCATAAATATTAACTATTACTTTTATGCCAATCTCCATTTAGCACAAAAGCATTTGAAATTCAAAATCACTTGCAAGCAGCCCTAGAAAAGAGCTGGAAAACCGAGGGAAAGTTCAAGCTTTGCCTTCTAGTGTCTGTCAGTAGGACTGGCATGAACTCCTTACAACATTCATAGGTTATGTTGTGGAAAAGTTCATTTCCAACCATCTACAGCGGTTGTTTCTAGGGAACAACGACTCTGAATTGATGGTTTTACCCCCACCTATGTTCAGTTGCCATGCCTCTTCTTCCAGCCTCAATCTCTACCGAACTTTAAGGACTAGTAAACCCAAGCCAAGGCAGGCTGGAATTTGGGCTGGGAATTTAAAGAGGGACATGAACAAACCCAACAGCCATCTTGTCCCAGATTTTTGGCTACTGAGTTGAATGGTAAGATCCCGAGGAGATTCTGCAGGAGCTCACACAGGAGCTTACCTACATCATCAGTACAAACTATACAAGTAAACATTTGTCTCTTGGAATGAAAACCATGACCTCCTACAAAGGTAGTTTTCCTCTATTGCCACATCTCTATACATATATTATGGCAGAATATTAGAATCCTTTGTCAAGCATTTTAAGCATGTGTGTGAATTGCCAACAGAGGCACAACAAGACATCACTGAAGGCGCAACTCACCTAAAACTGCTGCAGTTTATGGTGATCAAAGCAGAAAGTCAGGATTGATGAACATGCGGTCACTGTTGGAGCCAACCTGTACAAAACAGTTATTTTTTAGAGACTGAGAAGATACCGGGTAATGAAAGCTTCAAACCGCCCTTAAGGACCCACATCTTCTGGATTCCCCACCTTTGTCATGAAGAGGAAATTTCCCATATATGGCCCACACCAACAAGCAGACCAGGGTCACATTTCAGTTCACCGCTGTT